ACACAAGTTCATGTTCACTCTCTCATGCTTTGTCATGCCATATGTACTTCTGTGTCCTCTCCTTTCTTAGTTATTGTCACTTGTTACTTGGGACAACCCTTACCTGCATCTATGAAGAAGAGAAATTCTTCAGAGACAAAGCAGAAGGCAAAAAACCCAACCTTCCCAAAAAAACCAAACAAAACCCCCCTTGTACATCATTTCATTGATGCTCAAAACCAGGAATCAATTTCTAACCCTCCAGCGTGCTATGAACACTTCTCATGGGGCAGATATCTAGGTCCCCAAGATTGCCGGGACGAAAGCCCCTGTGTCTTCTCCTGTGTGATTTCATATTGTTACTCTGCAAATGGAGCTGTTGGCCAGCAGCAGTCCTTGTAACGCTAGTATGTGCTTCTAAGGTGAATGCTGGTCATGATTTCCTTGCTGGTAGTTTGTGTCTTACGCTAACAGGACACAACAATACAATCCTAATGTTGGGCCCATCTGTCCTATTCCCGTCCTGTTCTTGTAGCTAGATTGGGAACATAACTTTTCTACTCTACCATTTAAAGGCTTCTACCTTACCAACTTTGCCAACGCAGTACTGCTTATTGCTCTTTCTCTGATCTTGGCAACTTCCAAATGTCATTGCTTCTTGATTTCATGCTGCTGAATGCCAGGGAATGGTAGATGCTCTAAGCGGTGTTTGAAACAAGAAGGTGAGGTGCTAAACAATACCCTGCTGTTAATTATGGAAGATGAAGACCAGGGTGGAAGCACAGTTCAAAGACTCTGTGAGAATATTTACGCAATGTTTGATTCATTCACTACCAGTGAATGGTGTCATAAAAAACCATTATTAGTTCATATTATTGCAAAAGTACTGTGTACTTTTACCTTGATCAGTCTGTGATGTGGTGCTTGCGTAGAAATTATCTTAAAGGGCTACATGCTGTTAAATGGTAATGAAGTTAATGTAACGTGGAAGTGCTTCTGTCCTCAGAAGAGAACAACATTTTTATTCAGTGTAGTGTTGTAGGCAGTAATGTTGGGATGTCCAGAGCAACCTCAGACACTTGGGCACCTGTTCCTTGCTGACGTTTTTAATGGATTTAGGGCTCCTGTTTCCCCTAGGTTGCTTTGAAAGTCACAGTTAAAGGCTCTTGAAGTTAATGCAAGTCCTTTTATGCTATGTTATCAGGCTGAAGTGTTCAAAATCTTGCTTGTTAAACTGTTAAAAATGTTGGATGAATATGTAAACATGGAGAAAGTGTAAGGCCAAAAAGCTAATACTAAAATTTCATGTACTGATACGAAGTAAGCTTCCTAAGTTGCCCACCTGCTACCAGGGGACGTTACGTGATTGAGCTTGTATTTTCAGCCATAATAAAAAACCAGTTTTCTTTATCCAAGGACTACATTAATTTCTAATAACATCTAGTCATTTAAACAAGCTTGTGCTGGCTTATGAATAGTAATAGACTGTACTTTTGGTTAGGACAAAGGAACATAAATCACTGTCAGGCAGCTTAGAAACCAGTATGTCCTCATGGTTGTTTAATAGAGTACAAAGGGAATTGCCTTCAAGCTAGTGAAATCTCGTATCCAGTCACCCATCGGTGATGCTTCAAAAAAAGAAGAGAATTGTTCTCTTATGAGTCTTGGCATAAAAATTTAATTAGCAGCTGAGCTTTTTCTGAAGATAAAAAAAAGTGATTTCTTTTTATATAGTCACTTTCCCTTAACTGTTTACTTTGTATTTCTGTATTGTTCACACAGACAAGATCTGCCGCCTTCTACATCTATTTTTTTTCCTCCTTCAGTAGTGATTTTGAAATTATTTTACCCAATTTCAGCAATTTTTTTTTTTTTGCATTATGTTTCAGTATATTTGAACACTGTTCTTGGAAGACATTCAGAACACAAGTCAGAGAAAGAAATGGATACGTAATCAGATTTAATATGTAGTGGATACAAAACTGCTGTTATTAAATAAAATAATAATTATAATAATTATTGCTGTCATTGATAGATTTTTTGAAATTAATCTTTCTTTAGAAGAGTTCAAAGATAGTGAGTATATACTAATCAGAAAGTCAGTCCTCACTGGAATCAGATACTATTTGTTACTTATTATACTTTCAACTCTTTAGCACGTGTTATTTTGCTCTTAAAGGAATTAAATCTTATGAGTTAGCATGTGTTTGCAGTGTCATACTATGATTCCTGTGAGAACTATGAATTTGATTTTTGTTTAATTTCTCAGATTTAAACAACTATGCTTTAATCTTAGTTTTCTTACATAACAAGGAGACAGGAAACAAAAGAAGAAGAGCCCCAAACCCTTAACTCTCTTGGCATTTGCCTCATAATGTCAAATGTCTTAATGTCAAATTAATTAAATCTCTGGTCTAATGTGACACAGTTTCCAAAAGTGCACTGGTGCACGGGTATACTGTGGTGACCTTGAAGCATAAATGTTTGTGTGTTGTTTGTTTTTTGCAGTTAGTAGAAATGCTTCAAGGCCTAGATACGTCGAAGAACGTGTCTCTGCTTCAAGGCATTCCCTGGCGTATCCATCAGTCCCAGTGCTTTGAGAACTGCCTCCAAACAGTCATCAGACCAGCAGATACCTGAGGGAGTATGTCAGAAAAGATGTGACTGGCTGAAAGATGTAGTCATCGAAACTCAGCTGGCTTCTTTAATTTCTTGTATGCCCAGACATGCGTGTGCTTACCTATTTATTTATGTTTAGATGAGAGCAGTGAAGTACCTCCTGGCCACGGATCCTGTATTACATCTTCATAACAAATGTTAAGTCCTGGGTAGTATAGCTGTGAACTTTGCTATTCAGCTCTCCCAGGTGACATGTGTTGGGTGTCATACCCAGGCCTGTGACTTGACTTGGCAACAGAACCCTTTCAGCCAGCAGTTACTTGCTTCTAGCTGCTGTCAGTATCTTTAAAGACTGAAAGTAAAAATAATATACTTTAGGACTCTCAGTTGACTTTTGGAAACAAAGTTGCTTGCATTGTCTAGAAATCAACCTTTATTTTTCTAGCTGAAGGGAAAAATTGTAAAATGAATTTTTCATATATGAGGTGTTTTATTTCCTGGAAATGGTCGTCTTTAGAAATGTTTCCCTCCTTCATGTCTTGCAACAAGCCATTGTTTTTTAATCTTAAAAAAGATTTAAGTTTTCATTTTGAAAACACTGAAACAAAATGTTTTGACTCTTCTGAAATTCACCTTGCACTTTCTTTGGAGAGCAGGGTCAGACTCTGGATTTGAAGAAGCTGAGTATAATAGTAAATATTCTCCTTGCAATACTAGACTCCCTAAGTTTCCAGAAGAATCTAGTTGTCCATGTAGGTCAGTAAGGGAAACATAACTGTAGGTACAAGTGACATGACTGTGTTTGACTTGTTTGGTCCTCAGATTTTGTTGTTTTCCTTTGGGACGAAGGGAGTTTGGTACCTTCTGTCTAGTGGGAGTCGGGGTGTGCTTAGGTAAAGGGGGTCAGTAGTAGTGTGTGCTGGGGCCATGGGAGGCTGTAGCTAATGCAGAGATCTTAGACTACGGTGAGAAAACAAAGAACAGCTGGTCAATCCTCAGAAGGGATGAAAAGAAGGATTTCCTAAGACCTGAAAGACTGGATAAGGCTTGCTGTTGTTTAGGAAATTGCTGACATGGCTAGATTTGAGGACTCATCTTCACAGGGGGGAGTTGCATACGTATGGTTTAATTTTGCTCTGCTTTACAAATTGCTTTCAACTTTTTCTATTTACAAAGTCAATTGTTGTAGCTGTTACTTGTATAAAACCTGGTTTGGGAGGGGTTTAAAGCCCTTGGCTTTGGGAAATTTACAATAAAAAAAGCTTTGGGCCGCTACACCTTTGTGTTCTGGCTCCATGGGCTTATTGGGTAAGACCAATCTGCATAAAACTGGTCCCTGTGTCTTCTCTCAGCAGCCATTCTTTCAGTCCTGGTAAACTTGCCCTGAAATGAGTAACGTAAAGTAAAGGCAAAAGTTCCCAGAAGTCTGGTATGACTTCAGAGCTAAGAAGAGTTAAAGGACAGTGAAGGACTTTGTGGAAAAAGGATTATGGTTTAAATGAAGGGAGACAACTTATGTAGTGCTGAAAAGCTTTTGAAACTTCTGACTACAGTCAGAGATCCCAATTTCTGCTTCCTCTTTCAGTGCTGGACAAAAGATACCTGCACAAATAATTTACTTTCTATATAACAATGTAACCTCAACAATTTATTTGGATGGTCTTCATTTCAAAATAACATAATTACAAAACTGTGGGGTTTTTTTGTTTGGTTGGTTGGTTTTGTTTGGTTCGTTTTTTTTAAGAGAGCTAAATGACATGAGAATGAAATTAAAACAGTCAGTTTTGGTGAATGAGACATTTCTGATAGAGCTAGATTTTTCTTAAGTTTGATGGCCAAATTGAAATACTGGGAATCTGAAAAAATTAAAAATGTGTTTCTACAAGGCCCTTCTGTTTTACGAGTAAGCTCTTTTGGAGATATTCTCTGAAGTTACCTGTTCTTTCTATCAGTAGAAGGAATTGTCCGGGCTGCTGCTTTCTCCCTGCTTTGTGATCCTGCAAATACAACTGTTGTACTTCAAAGTCTGTATCTTGACATTTGAAAGACACATTTTGTATTCGATATCTGGTATATTATTTCCTCAGCGTAAAACATCTGCTACATGTGATTTTTTCTAATCCCACAATATTCTTTGCACACTTTTCCCACAAAAAATAAAATGACAATTTATTATCCACAGCACACTTTATGGAACTTAAAGTTGTAGAATATAGACTTTTAAAAATCATTTTCCTAAGTGTATATTTATGAAGGTTGTATTACTAAAACGCAGTGAGGTAGGAAAGCAATGTATTATAAGGATAATTCATGCATGCTATACCATAATTAACTTTGGGGGAAGTTTTAAATCAGCAAGACTCTTCTGGGATCTTTGGTCATCCTTTCAAATTATGAAACAGAATCTTTAATTGTTATTTTCAGTTTTACAGAATTTTTGGATCCATTCCAGCGGGTTATCCAGCCAGAAGAGATCTGGCTGTATAAAAATCCTTTGGTGCAATCAGACAACATACCTACACGTCTTATGTTTGTAAGTACTAAAGGCTTGTTGGTCATTTGATGGCTGTAAACTAAGTACACTTTCATTTGATAAGCAGTAGGAAACCTTTCAGAAGTATAGGATGTTTTTTTTATTTTAACAACAATTGTTTTCCAAACCAGGAATGTCCAAAATGGGAAAATGTAGGTAATAGTGGGGAGTTTCTAAAGAGCAGCATTACCAGGTGACTGAATTTAGGAATGTTGATATTACAGATTGAAGCTGGTGTTAAGTTAGAGGGATGCTAGAGAAATGATTAGAGAAGCTTTTTGAATTAGCTGGTTGGATGACCTAACAAAACCTTTCCATGCTTTTATTAGGTTAAGTGCTTAAATTTTGAAATCCAATTTGTTTTAGGCATGTTAGGCACTGAGATATCTGCCTCCAAATACTTTTTGGTGTGGGTTTTTTTTTTTTTTTTCATGTAGACAAAACCTTTGTTTCGGCTTCTGCCAACAATCCTGAGGTCATCAGGAGCGTACTTAATACATCATAGAGCTGCTCTGCTGTCACCATTCTTCTGGCTTTCCCCAGCACAGCTCATGTTGACATGCAGACTGGCTGTCTGTTTTTGATGGTTTGTCTGGTTATCAAAATTCATCGTTTTTATAACCTTCACTAGCAATGATTAACAATCATAATAATCTACACATATAACTACAAGAGTACAGTAAGGTAGACCACTACAGAAATGCTAAGAAATTACAGGTGTAGTTCAGGCTATTAAAACAAGTAGGTCAGTCTTTGCAAAAGCTTCATCAGTCAAAGTGGAGATTTTGCAGGAATGGGCATGGCAGGTGAGGTCAAATCCTAGTACCCGTACATCAAAGCATCTTCTCCTGTGTCTTTAGTGAAGCCAGGGTTTTACTTTTCAGATTAAGAGCTTGAATTCAGAATAAGTGCAAATCAGTTATGTAAATTGTCTTCAATGTTTTTTTTGAAGGCTCAGCTCTTCAGTTAGGGAAACTTTTTAATTGAGTAAGGAAAAACTTGAGGGTACTTCCTATTTACTTCCTATTTACGAGGTGACACTATATCCCAGCCTTCTAAGAGGCTGAAGGCCTGGTTTTAAATTCACCAACATACTGTTTATATTGCGTTAAGAAGAAGCTCTATTAAGTACTTTTTCAGGCTGGATGGGTGAAAACGTGTTTTTCCTGCAATGGAAGACAACTGTGTAAAAATGAAAAAAAAACCCAAACCAAACATTACATTGTTGTGCTAGGAAAGACTCTGAGTTTAATTCTGCCATTTTTCCTTATGCTGAGCATTACCTTACTACACGGTTTGTCTGATCTGCGTTTATAACTGAAGAGTTCAAGGACCCATAGTGAATCATTTTACAGGGGTTTGCTGCAGTGGTGAAACTATTTTTGAAACCGGTTGGGATAATCTTTAGTCCTTCCTCTGTTCTCTAGGCAGTAGCCCCTGGGAAGCACAGTTCTGGGATATAAGTGTAGTACATCTCCCTGTTAACCACTTCCCACAGAGCCAGCTTTTGGTATACTTGGTGGCAGGTGGAACTTCCAGGCAGCTCTGAGTCAGTAACATTTCTATAGTTTGCGTTCTGTTTCTGTCTCAGACCATGACATCTTAGTAACTCAGTGAACAGCTTCTTAAATTAAGAAACGTGGATAATTTCTAAATGTTTTTTCTTATTTCTTTAATTAAAAAGAAGAAAAAATCAACTCTAGCATTGATCACAGGCTTTCATTATGTAAGAATTTCATGCGACTAGTGTTGTACTCTGATATTGAAACATATGGCTATGGCTTACCAGAAAGCAATCTCTAAGAGTTTATGAACTGCTGGATTATTTTATACGCTGAGAGCTTTGAATTCAAGAGAAATGTTGTGAATACTCCAAATCCAGATCCAAACTAGACAAAGCTGATCTCTGCATGGATAGCAAGCAAGCCACAAAGGATGAAAAGACCTGAGCCTTGTTCTGTGTCTCTGTCAGTAGATATTCCTTGTCTTGGAAAGTGTAAGGTACTGTCAACGTCTCTTGAATGCATGGAAGTGTGTGGGAGTCCCTGTAACTTTAGCATATCTCTGGCTTGCCAGGATGAATAATGAATGAGAGAGATTTTGTCCATGTTTCACAAAAGCAAAGCAATGTTGGAATATTTCACTGCTGAAAAAGAAAACATTACTGAGATGCATCTGAGGGAGAGTATTGCTCATTAGACTGTTGCCAAATCTGTAATGGATATGAGCCATACAGAGTCTTTTTGCAAAATAAAGAAAAAGGTGTCTTTAGCAAGCCAAACTTTCCTTATATGTGCATTTTGCTGCAGAATAAAAAACACCTTCCAGCTAATGCTTTTGTGTAAGGAACAGCAGTGTACTGCAAACATGAATGGTTCTTCATCTCTCTCAAAAATCCATATGCTTGTGAAATATGAGGAAATCTGCAGTTCTACCAGATTTCTGAAGATTGATTGTGAAGTGGTTTGGAACAAGCTGCCGCTTGAATTCTATTCTTTGTTGATATTTTCTGCTGCTCCTGCTTGTTCAAAAGATTTCTAACTCCATTAAACCACCACTATAAGCCTGTCAGCCTGGCTATATTTCTACATGTTCTTCAACAATGGAATGCAGATATCTATCTTCTTTTTTTTTTTCTGGTGGCATTCCTTACTTTTCAGAATGAAACTAATAATTCTAGGTTTTGCTTTAACCATTTTTATTTCACTCTTTGTGTCTGAAAGCAGAAATTAAACTATTGCTGAGGATAGAGAGAAGTGAACATTTCTGGAGCAGTAATGTGGCACTGGCATCCTAACTTAAAACTCCCTTCTGTCTACAGTGTGTGTGAGATTCAAGCGGAAATGGTGCACTTTTTGCACAAAACCTGGTGCCTGCCTTTCTAAATGTAAAAAAAGGGAGCGGAGTCCAGGCTGTGTTTTAATCTGCATGGTTTACTGAGATAATATTTTGCAGATGCAGGTGAGGGGAATCTGGTCCAAGATGCGCTACCACAATAAGAAAGTGCATTTTCATGTTGTTCCCTACTCAGATATTCTAAAAGCATAAAATGAGGACTGAGATTAATCTGTATTATAAAAAGAAGAGTCGCATGTCTTTTGTTACACCATTTCTGTCCTGAATCAGTGTCTCTGTTTCTTATTTCAGTGGGCTGTTTAAGAAGTAAGGCACTGTTCAGCCTCAGTAAAGATAGCATAAACTTACTTAAGCCCTGGTGCCCCTTGTGCCATATACAGCTTAATTTTTGCCTCATTTAAAAAACCTGTCATTTTTACTTTTCTTCAAGAGAATAAATGCTTTTGAAAGAAAATGCTTTTGATTTGTTTTTGAACAAATGTGATTGTGAAGAGTTTTGTAGATTCCAGAAAGGAATTAGTTAACTTAGACTGCAACCAGCAAAAAGCATAAATGGACTACCTTGCCTACAAGTTGCCTTTTACCTCGGCGGTTGAAGGTCTGAGACAGAAGGGATGATGGAAGGACCAGTTGGGAACCAAATCATAGTTTCCATGGCAAGCTACTAATGAAAAACTCCCTGGTATTGCGCTTGGGGGAAACAAATATATCTCTCTGGAGAAAGACAATAAATACCTGCTCTTGGAGGACAGACTGCACGAAGTATGATGCTTTTTGGATAACTGGCACATTTACAGTGAATCATCAACCGTATTCCAAATTGCTCTGTGATAATGGAGATGCTGTTCGTGGAAATCAAGTGTGTGCATTGATGTGCAGATACCATTTAAGGTTCCTTGTAGGAGGAATCCTGCCCTACAGCACTGACAATAAAAGAATATGGTTCTGCTTAACCAACAAGTATACTTGTAGATGTTCAGGTGGTGTTTTTCTGTTTTTGAACAAAATCGAGCAGTTGGCTCCACATCCAAACACTTGTAAACGGAAGAATCATAAAGGCCTTATCTTTTCAATGCATTCAAGAATGACAGTTAAAAAGAAAACAAAAAATAAAATAAAGAGCATTTTAAAATATCAGGAAGTTGGTGCTGGAGCCTGGTATGTTGAATAGGGTTTTACTGAGAGCACAGCCTGGACTGCCTGCCTTCTGGAGCAATGCTTGCTGCAGAAAAAATGTACAAGATCTGTATGGATCAGTGTATGAATTTTGTGGACTTTATAGACTGCTGCTTTTTCATTTATGAAGCTGACATTTTAAATGCAGCTCCAGGCAATTACAAATCAATTATAACCCACAGTTATATTACAATTTTAATGTGTAGTTGCAAAGACAAATCATCCCACTTTGCTTAAGGTCAGGAGTTTGAAAAAGATCATTCAGCCTTCCAGTTTAAATGGAGCTAACTGGAACTAATTATTAATCAGTTGGTCTGAAAAGGAATCGATGCTCTCACACATGATATTTGTTATCTCTTACAGGCAATTTCATTCCTTACGCCACTAGCAGTCATTTTTGTGGTGAAAATAATCCGGCGAACAGACAAGACTGAAATTAAAGAGGCTTTCTTAGGTAATGTATGTCATACTTCAAGATGGAAAATGTGTGATAGCTCTCAGAGATTGATTCCAATTGTAGTCTAAGCCTTGAAGAAAACCTGTCTCCGTTACAGTCCATTACGGTAGTTTTCAGTGCAGTTATAGTTGCAAGCCGTCTCACAAAAGCCTTTGGTTTTATGTATGTTTCTAAATGTACAAATTCTGTGCCTTAATTCCACAGTCTAGGTAGCAAGGGCCAGAATTCAATCAGCAAAGTCAAGACCATCTGAGAGACTGTTCAGATGTATATTTTTCTGTCACAGCCAATCTATTACCTACCTCTTACTTACACTTGTAGCTATTGTAAATTAAGGGTTTGACTGGGAAGTCCTGCGAGACTCAGCTGCTTAGTGTAGGAAATTACTCCTCTCATTATTTTCCCTGACCTTCTGCTGGAGCTTACTGTTCCCCATTGCAAAATCCATGCTCATGGCTCAGCCTTTCTATTCACAAGCTGATGTTTTATCTTAAACTGCCAGTGGAGTTGGATGTGCACTTAATCCTGGCCTGTGAACTGCTATGGCTGTGTTATGGGTTGTAGGCAGCAACTTTGAGCAGGGAGACAGGTAGACTATGGGGATGGTAAGTCTTAAACTGTTCCAGCTAATTCTGTCTGCCCCTGTCTTTTGAAATCTTTTAGTGATATATGCCCAGATCCTTTTTACATAGATATTGCCAGAGACCAAAATTGACTAAAGCACTTTCACTGGCAGAGGATACTTCGAAGCACTAAGAACTGCAAATGTTTTTGTTGGCACTATGTTTGAAATATGCCTAATTCTGGAATTCTGTTTTACTGGCTAATTTACACTTTCATTTATTGGCCCTTAGATTGTAAGGCCAAACTGATACTCAGCCTTGCCTTAGCTAGATAGGATGTAAATGGCACTATGTATCTGCCTTTGAAAATTTTTTTTAGACAAGGCTGGGTTCCCATAGCTTGTTCTTTCTCCAGTTGCTCTAACACAAGTGTGAAGAGATCCTAGTTTTGTTTTGGCTGCTGCCAATCAGTTGTAGTAAGTTCTGAAATGTCTTACAGTGATATTTTACTGACAAGTCCATTCAGCAGAAATAACTCGGATTCATAAAATGCGTACAGTCACAGTGCTGAGTTTCACTTTCTGTTAAGAAGGAAAGGAACTTCGGATTAGTTTCTCCATCACTTATTCTCACCTTTTTGTTCTAAAGGGACATTCATTTTTTCTGCTGTTCTTGCCTTCTGTTATGATTCCCTCTATAATGTCCAGGAGAAAACTTGCCAGCTTCCCCAGTGTTCTCCTTGCTACCCAGACTTTAAGGAAAATCCAGCCTTGATGTTCTGTTCTGTAGGGTATCCCTGTTCAGTATATGCCATAAGTGTGGAACTTCTTGTGGCTTAATTGTGTTCAAGGGTACTGTACATCAGTATGATTCAGTATGTTAATGTGTCTGGTGATGTGAAGCTGATGTGAAGATTCATTAACTGTGGTGGAGCTTTGTTGATTTGCTGAGATCTGGCACGTAATGTTCATAACGAATGATCAGGAAGTCCCCCAAAAGGTGAATTTCTTTAGACATCATATGTAGAAGAGATCACAGGTTAAAAGGATGTGAAACTGCTTTGTCCCTCCTGGAGCCATTAATATAAAGAAGGTGGTTCAGTGCATCTAGGGTAAGGAATAGTTAGCCTCCTGATGTAAGTGCCCTTAATCCTTCTCCTGAAAGTGCCTACCTCTCTCTACTGACTGGATTATATGACTTTTGGTGGGTGATACGAATCTTTCCTACAGGGAACAAAATGAGAGCAAATGCAATTTGTTTACCAGCTTACATTCACACTGTCATTTGATACTTGGATTGCCGTTGTAAGGAATATGCAACAGTGAAAGCATGGTTCAGTCAGGTATGCGATGAACAATCAAGACAAAGCTCAATGAAAAGAGTAAACCTTACCGTATGTCTCAGAAAGGAGATATCTCTACATCTCCCTTTTTTTAAAAAGGAGAATGTAGTGCTGTGACACTGCTGGTCACAAGCATTTGACTTAGTGGAAAATTTCAGTTCACCACGCAATCACCATAAATAACTAAGAGAAAACAATTGAGAGGAAAAAGAGAGCATGGGATTGAGTGGTCACTGTGAACATAGTGTTGAAAGTGGAAGACTTTTTTGAACAATACCAGTGTCTCTAGGATTGACGTGTTCCTTTATTTTTGCTGGCAGCTATTGCTATAGTCTGAGAAAACCCTTGTTTTTGCTTTGATGGAGGACCTCTTTTTTTTTTTAACTTAAAGAAAAATAGATCCTATAACACACACATTTTTATGATCTATAATATCCTCAGGCAAAGATTTTATGGAGACAGGATGAGTGCTGCTGAAGTACAGCATTTGGGGCAGCACTCGAATGAGAAAATAGCTCATGGAGCTGTCATAATCAAAAGTTATATTACTGTAACTGTTCTGCAGGAAATCAGAGATTTGCCTGATAGTTGGTTTTTTTTTTTTGATGGGAAATAAGATTCAGTGGCTCTTGTGTTGTAACAGGAGCTATGGTGTGGACTGCAACATCAAATCAGTTTTAATCTACAAGGAGTGTATGCACTGGATCCAAGCGCCACTGAAATCAAGACAGAGATCTCCACAGGCTTTAGATGAGGTTCTTCGGAAAGTCTAGGGACTCGGCATGCAAGTACAAATAAAGAAGATGATTCTGTCATACCTAGTATGACAGTTCCTATTTATTACTCCAATTTTATTAGGAAAATTGGTTAATCCTGCGAGCAAATGTAAGGGAAAATGTCAAGATTTTTAGTCAAAACATCCACATCCTTTTGAAAGAAAAATTTAAAAATCACCCTGTTCTAATTCTAGCCAAAAGGCAATTCTTTAGCCTGAAAATGGACTGCTTAATTGGATCATACATATACATATATATACATATATAAACACACACACATATGTGTATATCTCTCTTATGTATAGGTCTATACAGGAATTCTCCTTGACCCAAAGAGTGTAAGATTTTCATCTAGTAGATTACAAAACTGATAAACACAGTGCTTGATTCTCTAATAGTTGTTTCCATCTGATGATTTATGCCTGTGCAAATGGCATGATACGAAAACTGGCTTTGCGTAAGGAAATAAGATTTCTCAACAGTAAAAGCAGAACAAAGTCGGTCAAATGTGATTATTATCATGGTCTGGGGTCTGTCCTTAGTCTGGGTAATAAGAAAAACAGCGGGCTGCAAAGATCATTCAGTTTTCAGTCCAGTAAAGGATTCAGTCTGTAAATCAAGTGCTGTAATGCTGCAATTTATAGTTTGGTATTTAGGTTATTATTGTTCTGTTTGTTTATTCTGTTTTGTAGCTGTTTCCTTGGCTCTAGCTCTGAACGGCGTCTGCACAAACACTATTAAATTAATAGTGGGAAGGTAAGTCTTGTCATGTTATAAATGATGGCTTAAGAGAAATGAAGATGGAGTTGACAAATACAATACATCTTAATAAAAAGATAGCTGCTGCTCCAAAGCACGTTGAATTGGAAAGGGCCCCTGTGAAGCTGTCCTTTCCCTGGTGCAGGTGGTGTACAACTTCATTATGTGACATCCAACTGTGGTAGGAATCTATGCCCTTGTGTTTTGTTATTTGTTTGACCTGCTGGCAGATCCAGAAAACAAGGAGTTTGAAAGGAAAGGTGTGAGCAGAAACCGGTTCATTAAATTGGCAACACAGAAGGGAAGAGTCACAGCATGTGGGAGTTTAGATGCCCAGTGCCACTGGTCTGATTAAATAGGAATCAATTGAGTCTCTATATAACCCAGTGCCTGCATTTTGTGTGAAGCATATTAGTGAATGGTATTTCCAGGTAACATCAAGATCCATGGCAGAACAAACCTTGGAGCTATGCAATAAGTGGACTTAGGTCCACTACTAGGTAGGCCATTTTTTAGGAAAGCATAAATTTGAATGAAGAGCTCAGAAAAATACTAGCAAACAAAACTCTCTGGAAAATAATTTTTTAAGATATTTTTTGGCTCTTTATCAAAAATTTGAATAATTTCAGCTGAAAAATATGTTTGACTTGAATTCATACAGCGTTTAGAGTCCAATGCCGTGTTTGTTGCTCACCTGTTTTGCAGCATTGAGGAAGCAGTATTTGTGCTTGGTTTCTGACGAACCCTCTCTGCTGCAGTACTGATGCCCTGGCAATAATGGTACTTGGCACTTTTATTTTAAGAGTGCTTTTGAAATATAATTAAGAATGTCTGCACCATCTTCTTCAGGCAGACGCGAGCTCATTTTGCCTGCGCTCCAAGCCAACTAGTTGCTCTGTCAGGTTGTCTCTGAATCTGTGGTCATTCGCCTTGCCTCTCCACGTGGCTTATTAGCTCAGGATCACTGTGACACCAGCCAAACCTACGTGCTATCATTCAGCTCAGAGCAGTGTCAAAAGAAACTCAGAGGTTTGTTCAATGCAGTTAGAGAGTCAGTGTCAAGGCTGGCATTAGAATTTGGTGGTTGTTTTGGTGCCAATCTCGTAGCCGAAGTTGTAGTCCGGTTCTCAGCTAGATGTATTGGCAAGATTTGTGCAACTTTTGGGTTGCTATGCTACTTTGTCACTGGAAGTGCTGTGCAAGATTGATTGCTGTAGGCAAGAGTAGCCCTGCATGTTTGTTTCCAAAGACAACTAACTCCCACTTCCATGCGGCACTGGAAGCTTCCCTGAGAGAGCCTGCCTGTAAAAAAAGTGACCTATTCAAGGAAAACAAAGCATTTCTGTTGCTGTGTTAAGGCAGGAGGAAATGAATTCTGTATGTAATAAGCAGTAAATGTAATAATCACTTTGAGGTTTATTTGTTACTACAGCTTTTATATTTTTAATATCCATGGTGTTTTTTGTAGACCGCGTCCCGATTTCTTTTACCGCTGCTTTCCAGATGGAGTAATGAACTCTGAAATGCACTGCACAGGTGATCCAGATCTGGTGTCTGAAGGCAGAAAAAGCTTTCCAAGTATCCACTCTTCCTGTAAGTTCATTTAAATACAGTGCCTTTTTTGTAAAAAGCTGTCCTATCTATGTTTTGGAATTGCTCTTTTTTAACTTGATTTTTGCTGGAGGGGCCTGCACTTCTGTCTTGGGTCACCACTGCCAGAAATTTCCTTCTGGAAATAACTTTGTGAGCCTGTGACCCTTCCTTATCTTGAGAACCACCTGACTTCCCTGAGAGCTGAAGCAAGACTATCAGTAGAGTGAAGCACTATTCAAGATTAAAGAAAACAGTGTGGTTCTGAGGGGGTATCTGTTACCTAACGCACACCTCTGTGTGCAACGTTTGTCTATATAATAAATATTTTGTTATATGCTATTAAAATATGAAACGTGACAGGGCATGTTTGGCCTGCATAGTTTTGACAAGATTTAGTTATTTAGTTATTATGTCTTTCGAATACTAGGTCTATTAAACCAAAGTTCAAGTCACAAAGACAGTTCAACTGCTTTTATCTTTAAGATTTCATTTAAAAAAAAAAAAAATCGATTACTAAGGTGCTTTTCTTCATGGGAAGTTGTATCCTTGAAGGTGGAAGGGGTAGAAAGGAATGCATGGAGATCATATTGCGTTATTTCCATGCTGTTCATCCTAATGAACTGGCTACAAAGTCAGGTTCAAGAAGTCCCTGTGGCACTAGAAGCTGTCATTATGTGCCAGTAGAAGGATGATTATTTCATTCCCTGTTTTCTTACGCTTTTGACAGTATCCACTGCTGCTGTGGCTGAAGAAGTGATCCTTGTCTATGTGGGCCTTTATTTTGAGGGGTTCTTATACTTCCATGTTCAGATGTCTACTGCCACTGGACTGCTTTGCCCGGGCACAGACAGGAGTAGGTGTTTAGCTCTGTTCCCAGCTCAAGCAAGCAGAGCAAAATAGGCAGAATGTCCTGACTTTTCTGTCAGCGTGACAGCACAGAGGTACCACGTAATGGGGTAACAAGTGTATCAATAGTATCTTATTTAGAGGAGCAGGGGGGCAGGAAACAGAAGTAAATTGGGCACAGTTTGGAGTTTCTGTGGTTTCTTGTCTGCTCCTTGGACAGCATAGTCACTTGTCACTCCATTTGGCTTTGATGTGGTCCTCAATCTGGGTCTGATGGTTTGATCAGTTACTCCTAGCTAATGCTGTATCCTGACAGCTATTTAGGTGGCTTTGTGAAAACTCGTATGTCTGATTTAATTAGTTGTATTAACTCAGATGTTTACAAAGGTTCCTTTCTCTGTCTTGAGGAGCTGACTTCTAGAGTGTTTTATGTCAGGTGTTTAATAAAACTTCTTTTCATCTGCAAAATAACTTGATTACTGTGAGCTTTTTTTGGTTTTTTTGGCCAGTATTTTTGTTGCCTTGTGCTGTTCTGTTTCCGAGAACTGCCAGTTGAGTACCAGTAAGTCATATCTCTGGAATTTGTTTTTCTGATCTTTTTTTAAAGTAATAACTTCAAATTATCTGATTGTGCAGAATTTGTATATTGTAAACAAGTTGGGTAATGAGATGAATGAAATTCTGAGCTGATCTTGCTCCCTTTTTCTTGTTTGAGTCCCAGAAACAGAAAAGGGAGTAGTAGATGTTTGTCGATATGTTGTAAACTTCATAGTCCTAAACAATAAACCACCTTAGCTGGTTTTTGTTTATAAGCTTTGATTACATTAAAGAGACAATAGCAGAATATATCATATGCCGTTTAGAACACATGGTATTTATTGCTGTTTGTAGTCTGGCATCAGTTGTGCTTGTCAAACTTCGCTGCAATCCTCTTAAGTATTACGGTTAAGTATTTCGTCAATGTATAACAACAAAGGCTTAAAATAAGTACATGTATACACTGATGTACTAGAATTTACAATTTACAACACTAGCCCTCAGCAAGTGTTATAGTTGGTCATTTTCCTTTACTAAAATGCAACAGTTTACTCCAAGGCTGCAAAGCGTGAGTTGCAGAAGACACGCAATGTGCTTTTGTTTTTGCACAGACTAGAAACGCTTTATCTGTGGCATGCTCTGCTTAGCTCTGGCACACATCCTAGTTCTCTGACCGAGACCGCTTGTCACACAGCGAAGTGCTTTTGTCCCTGTGCCAGTGGGGCAGCCATAGAATGCATACTGGGGTTTTACTTTTAGCTGGTATTGGTTTTATAAGCACTGAGTTGCGTTACTGCAGCTCACACAAAATTCAATTGGAGCAGAATGATGGCCCCGTGTATTTAGATCAAAATTATGAGAACAGCTTTCTCCCTCACTGACTAATATAATATTAGCATGTAGTTGAGTTGACTATATTTCCCACTACAAAGCCTTTTATTGCAATGTGATAAGAATGAAAAGATATTATATATGCAGTAATTTTTATCTGTTGGTATGCTAGAGTGAGGCAATTCTGCAGCTGCTTGAAGTACTTAGCTGTTTGAAGTCTGATGTTACAATATCTAAGTCTCTGACAAGACTCTGTGTTTTGAAGCCTTAAAATCCATATGCATTTTAGTCTCATAATGGAAAAGGAAACCATTTTAATTTTATAATCTTACAATGCTAACCTCTGCTCCTTCTTTGTAGCAAAATTATTTACATAACTGGGATTGTCAGTATTATTTTATCAAGAATAATTTATAGTTGTGATAATAAATTTATTTTCTTGCTGTTACTTCATCCCCCAGTAGATTGAAGAATGAAAAGCAAAAAATTTTATGGGAAACACAACATTATACTACCTTCCTGGACCTATGAAGCAATGAGGATGTTGAGGATATAATCATTCACGTTCAGAAATTTTGCTATAATTTTACATTTTCAGTATTTTGTTTTGTGTAATGTATGAACTGTACCTCCTCTACCTCCCACTCCCTGTGAAAAATTATTCACTTATCTCAGTTTTAAAAAGCTGTCCTTCCTGCCTTCTTAACATGTAGGTAATTACAAACTTTCCTTCCATAAACTCAGTCCAAGATTTTTTCTTAGCTCCTTTCTCCCTTCCTTCAGCATAAGATTGCCACTAGGTAAAATGAAGGAGTTCCATTCTTCAGATTTCTGTCATCCTTTCTCTGTTTGTTGTGGAATTCGTGAAGCAGCATCAAAAAAAGTTTTTTTTGTTTCTGTTACTGTTTGTGGGTTTTTTTTTCTATTTTCATGGCTGTGGAAATGTAAGTAAGGAGGATGAGAGTTGACATAAACTGTAGTACCTCTCTTGGAATGATAGTTACAAGTAGCCCACTACAGTTTGGTATTTTCTACTTCACTTGAACAAATGAAGAAAATAAATCACAAGTAAAAGCTGCCAAGCAGCTCATAAAGAGAGGTTAGAAGCTTCAGTCAAGAGCCATTTTCAGCTTCAAAACAGTTTTTCTTAGAGCATTCCTGGGACAGGCTGTCAATCAAAAGCTTTGTTATACCAGGATCTAAAACCTCATCCATGCAAAATGGGGCCTTTAACAAGAAAGTCTGTGGTGCTGTGAATGTTGTGCTATAGGAACGTGGTGCAGGGATGTATAGCAAGAGTGACAGTACTGACACCCCAAGATGGCCTGACCTGACCTTGCGTACTCAATAAAAATGTTGTGAACTACCTGTCTTCCACTTTGAGAGTCAACTTGTGTCCTGAAGGAGATTGTGTTCTCCTTATTAGAGCACAGATGATTATCTTGGCTTAAATTACTGTGTCTTTCACCTCCCTGTGCCGAGGAGTGGATGCAATACAAATAATGTATGGAGCACAAACTGTTTTGTAAAGCCAAAGAGTGACTTGCAGATAGATGCAAACTATAGTTGCCTGAAACAATTGAGGCATTTTGTACCAAATCAGAACAGGAGGTTGACCAACATGAAGACGGTGGTGTTGTTACTACCTTGTCTGAATGAGGAGCAGAACTCTACCTGCAGTGGCTGCTGAAAATGTACTTTGAGCTGGCATATCTCATTCAAGGCTGCTGTCTCCTAGCTCTGCGTTTTGCTGTCCTTTTCTGGAAAGACTATTGAATTTAGGTGACTCCTTCTCTTGATAACTTTTTGTAACAGCAACTTGAGTTGTGGACAAGCACAAGCCAACATTCAATGGCTCCATTGAAATTCACCCAGAAGTACATGTTCTACTGGATCAAAGAAGTCCCTGGACCTTCTGGATTGTTTGGAGCATATTTTGCCTCTTTTCCAGTTGAACTGCCAGTATATCTTGTTGGAGGGAACCAACATTTGGGAGTAGGGAGCCAAGACTCCTGCCTGGGACCAGTAGCTCAGAGGTGTTCCTGAGTCCCAGGTTTATATGTAGCCATTCTGACTAAAATGCTTCCAAAATGTAGGTTTGTTTTTCCATATTTAGTATTTCCATGGCTCTATAATCCATTGGCTACTTTATGCTATTTAAAGCTACTGCCTGTGAAGATAGCATGCAGCTTGTCTATGTCCATACTTCATTGAAAGAATTATGTTTATGAAGTCACAAATGCAGCATTTCTTCCTCCTGCCTGTGTCCTTCCTGTGTGTCTTCTATAGAGTTATCTTGCAGAGAGCCTTTAGGCAGCCTGCCTTGGAGATACCTCATGGCATCCTAACCTCTCAAAATACGTGAAGTAAGCACGCTCCAGGTGTCTTCAGGGTTTGTTCTGGCTGTACTTTGCAAGCTTGTTATCCAAATAATAAGCAAATCTATCTCAAACATGGCCATGAGAATAGTGGAAGTTACTGAACGTCTGAAAGCCAGTTACACCATCTGAAAGTGCTGACCATAGTAAGGAGTGGAGGAAGTCAGCCATCCCTGTGGTGAGCTTCTGAAGACACTTTTTCTTGTGTTTGGTGAAGTATGATGGGAACTGCCTTTTTTTTTTTTTTTTTTTTTTTTTTTGGATTATTTTTTCCCCCTTTAAACCCCCTGTAAAAAATTTTTTTTTTTTTTTTTTTTTTTTTTGGCATAGTATTTCCCCACTTCAACCTCCTGATGTGCAGCAGAAGTGAGAATATATTATTTCCTCAGGTCACTCCTTGCAGTGCTG